CGACAAGGCCGAGTCGGTGCTGACGAGACAGGTGGACGGGTGTTGTTGTGGCGCGACTTCTCAGCATTGTAGGCTTGTTATCTCAGATTGCTGAGCTGTCAGTGTTTCAAAAGTGAGAGACTTGGATGCAAAGATGACGATCGCAGCGGCGGAGCAGGCGCAGAGCAACGGCCGGGCTATGGCGGCAGGAGCGTAAGCGGTGAGACAGCGTATAGCGCTGATGGACGCACAACGGGTTGATTGACGCAGCGGCGGCAGAGGAGGGCTGAAGTGGCAGGGCCATGGACCAAGCCGTGTCATCTGTCTGTGGGGAACACGCGCGTGGCCATGGATGCATGACCGTAGAGGAGGAGGAGGAGGAGGAGAAGACATGGCTACATGGCGCGTCTAGCATGCATGGCTGCATGGCTGCAAAGACAGACAGCGGGCGTCGGCCGAGACAAGAAGCAATAGTTTCGATGGCCATGTTGCGCGGACACGGCTTATGTGAAGGGTGGCTTCTTTTTTTTTGGAGTCAAAATAAACATGTCACGGGCGGCGCAGTGGCTAAGGGGTTTGTGCGACCAAACACAGGGCAGCATGTCGATGTCGAGGCTTGAGTACGATGACAGGCTGAGGGTGCTTAGACACAGCTGAGGGGAGTGTTTGCGTAGTAATGTGGGATGTCATAATCAAGGCGATTCTGGGATGCAGTCTGGGGAGGGGAGCCGCGAAGAGCATAGTGCAGTGCCAGCCAGACGTGCGTGGTGCAGGCGTGCATGTGCTAGAGGAGTCGTCTGACTGAGGCGGGGTAAAGTATGTAAGTAGTAGGTGGAGGTGAAGGAGGGACATGGATGATGATACATGGATATGTATGTATATGCGGCGGGTGTTAGTGGATGTAAGTACATGGCCGGATTGGGGCATGCAAACAAACAGACGAGGATAAACACAGCAGCAAGGAAGGAACGACGGGGCTGTCGTTGCACCGGGCGCGAGTCCGTCCATGCCATGGCCTTTTGGTTGGTGGCGGCGGGCGATGAAGTCATGGACGACTGGACAGAGCGTGGCACTGGCACTGGCACTGTCCGCTGCATTGGCATGGCAATCAAGGCTCATCCATTGCAGCCACGGGCGCAGCCGACGCTGAATAGTCGGCGGCCTAGCAGATAGCAGCAGCGACGGGTTGGTGTGGTAGGGCGCTGGGGCGTGCTGGGGCGTGCTGGGGCCTGAGTCAGCAGCCGGGCGTGGCCTGCAACCGAGATCTGGAACATGGTCTGCACGGCAAAACTCCTGCAGGGCCGCCTGATAGCACCCAGTGATGGCCATCCCTACTTAACTCTATCACGCCGCCGCCGCCGCCCCTCCCACGCCCATGGACGCCGTCCCACATCCTGCCTGGCCCAGCCCGGACTCGTTCCCAGCCCTCGCTGCTCCTTGACATCTGTTAAAGACGACGCGCTGCCGCAAATGCGTTGCCCCCATTCTCCTCCCTCTCCAAAGCTGCTGCCCACCCGAGCGCTCTTTCTTCGGAGTCCACCCAGACGCCAGACGCCCCATCCGCGTCGCTCATTTTACGCCCACACTACCCCTGTCGCACCTCCCAGAGATACCCAAACACGCCTGGCTCGCCTCTCCACAGCACATTGCACCCTCTCGCTTTCTTGCTTCTTCCCGTCTGGCTGAGACGCCCAAAATAAATACCCGCCCTGCCCATTGCTGACCGCGCTTCCGTGTGTCCAAACACACATCACCCCCCCGCCAGACCCGCAATCCTGGCTTCCTCTTCCTATGGACCCAGCTGCTACCGACACCATGTCGCGAAGTCGAACCACGCGCACCCGCTCGGCAAACTCTGGCGCCGCTGCTACGTATGGATACCATAATACTTACCATACACACGCCCAGCTGCCCCTTGGCTCTCCGCCCTCGTATGCCTGTGCCATTGACCCCCAGACTATGCAAAGGCTCCAAGCCCGAACAAAAGCAGAGCAAGATGCCGTCCATACAACCCCTCTTCCACCGCCCTACACCTGCACCGTCGACATCGAGGGCATTGTGGGAATCAAGCAGGAACTCTCGTCGCCCTTTCAAGTCTCGGGTCATCGCGAGTGGACCGACGTCTACGCTATCCTCCGCGGCACTCAGCTAAGCCTCTATCGCATCAAGAACCCGCACCTCCTCAGCAAGAACAAGTCAGCCTCACCCGGCCGTCTGCTCAAGACGTTTTCTCTCCAGCATGCCGAGGTTGGCGTTGCCTCTGATGTTAAGAAATCGGCTTTGGTGCCAAAATCTCCGTTTGTTCATTTGGTCCCTGTTGCAGCTCGTCCCAAGCTATATGAGTCGGACCCACAACTCTTCGAGCCCGTAAGGGAACATCCCATCCGACTCCGCCTCGAGTTTGAACAATTCTTGCTGTGCCCCCAATCCGAGGAAAGCATGCTCGACTGGGTGGAATCCTTCTGTGCTGCCATTGACATTAGCGCCCCGCTAGAGGATCGCAGCGAGCCTCGCTACAGAAGTTTGCCCCGAAGGAGTCGCAGGCAGCGAGTCTTGGATGCTGCACAGGTTGGAGAAAATTTCGAGGGTTTGTCAAGCATAGAAGCTGGCCGTCGCCTTATTGCAGAACAGGAGCAGATTATGCGACAACTCTACCCCAACCTAGCAGGAAACCGCGAGCCAAGCACAAGCCGCTCATCTCCCTCTGCCGATGCTGAGCTTGACGACTTTGACCCAGAAGATGTTCGCTTCCCTACACGAGAGGCCCGACAGTCTCTGGTGCGTGTCTCTTCCCAAGACCAGGCCGATGACCAGCAATCCGAGAACGGATCCGACCCCAAGTCGACACCTCTGCCTCCACCTTCGCCCGCGCAAATGATGCGCTACCGTCGCCGTTGTGCACCCGTACTGCTCGCTTCGTCGCCGCGGGTAAGCGATGTTGTTTTTGCCAAGGGTCAGCGTTTCCGCATCAGCGTAAAGGCTCACATGCTTGTTGAGTACACTGCCCACCCGCCGCGCTATGACGCACATGGTTTTCCCAAGACCAGGAGACCGTCTCACACCAGCGCAAGCCAAGATCCCCCCGCGCCAGTTGCAGGCGAAACAGAGCCTGCAACCATTGTACCGGAACGACCAAGCTCCCCAGTCCGGGGTATTAGCGATGATTCTATAACGTCTATTTCATTTGGCGAAGACCTCGCCCCTATTAACTCAAAGTCAAACACCGATGAGACGGGTCCATCAGGCCCGCCCTCACCAACTGGCAAGGCGCCTATGGCGGCAGATGCCGCCCGCCAGTTGGACACCATTGACAAGAGACGGCCCAGCATAGAGAGCCGCGAGGCCAGCCTGAACCCCGTCAGTCTCGGTGTCGGACTGCTCATTTGAGCAACATGCCTTTCATTTTGCCCCCATGATTTCCTTTGTTCTTTTTTGCATCGCACGGCGTCGGATGAGCGAATTATATGGGTGCATCCTCAGCGCGATTGGGCGCTGACACGCTTGTCTTTTTAGGCGCAGCACTTGCACTGGTGTTTAGAAAAACCGTTGGGAGATATATATACCCCTTTACTATGTATGGATTATAGGGAAACCGAGGATTTTGACTAGATTTTGACTGGGAGGGGCTTCGGATGTATATAGACCATGTTAGCAATCATTTAATTACCACCATCCACATTTTTAGCCATTTGCCTTTGTTGAGATGATGTGAGTGAATCAGCTTACTAATATCGCTTGGGTGAGGATATGTCAAACAGGGGAAAGGCCGTTTTGTTACCAAGCAAGCGCAAGATTGGCTAGGCATGTACGCCCACAGGTAGAAGCTTGTTTGGCTTTTCTCCACAACATCTCGACCAAACAAAACCATCAGGTATGCAATGTTGCCATGATCCTCTTTCCGCATTCGTACTAGTCTACGCGCTCAACAGACTGGGCACTATAGTGTACATTGAACCACCAGACGATCTGGGGAAAGGCTTACTACAAACGTCAAGAGGAACAATTCAAACGAGAAGATGAACAAGCGGACGAGCTGCGGACTTGGCAATCAAAAAACGCATAATGACTACACTATCAACTACATAAACAAACTCCAACCCCATTGTACGTGCAAACAATATATTAGTACAAACCCGTAAACACCAAAACACCAACCACCATGTCCCCCAAACCCATCGCCCTCATCCTCGGCGCAGGCCCCAACGCCGGCACCGCAATCGCCTCTTCCCTCTCCTCCCTCGGCTACCGCATCGCGACCGCCTCCCGCAGTGGCACCTCCACCTCCACCTCCACCTCCACCCTCTCCCTAACCGCCGACTTCACCAATCCCTCCAGCATCCCCCCACTCTTCACCCGCATCCACACCGACCTCCACGCCTACCCCAGCATCGTCGTCTACAACGCCGCCACCATGACTCCCCCTTCTGACGCCGGCGTCGTAACGTCCGTCCCTGCCGACAAGTTTACCGCGGACCTGAATGTAAATGTTGTGAGTCCGTATGTTGCAGCGCAGGAGGCGGTGAAGGGGTGGAAAGAGATGGGCAAGAAAGCGGGGGGAGGGGAGAAGACGTTTATTTTTACGGGGAATATGTTGAATCGGACTATCTTGCCGGTGGATGCGTTGGTGACGCTGGGGGTGGGCAAGAGTGCGAGTGCGTATTGGGTTGGGCTTGCGGATGAGATTCACAAGGGGGAGGGGTATCGGTGAGTTTCTTTTTGTTCATGCTTGAGAATTTTGATGAGGCTGATGAGATGGCGAATTAGTTTCTTCTACACTGACCAGAGACAGCCAGATGGTAGTCCAATGGGTAATGTGGTTGATGGGCCTGCTCACGGCGAGTTCTACGCTCAGCTGGTGCAACGCACAAACGAGGTTCCTTGGCTGGCTACGTTTGTAAAGGGAAAAGGCCATATCAGGTTTGATGGGTGAGATTGCTATAGAAATCTCTAGAGGTAAGATTGAAGCCGGCTAGGACTTGGATAGTAGTAGTACATCATAAAGCTCATACATCAATCATATCTTACATGTCGTCCAAAACATCATAGTCCTGGCCAATCTGCTTCTTCCTTCCTTTCCTGCCCTTGCTTCCCCGAATCTTTCGATCGCTCGTATATCGTCCGTCACGGTCACCGACCAGCATTCTTCCTCCTTTGCCCAGGATCTTGGCAGGTCCTTCTTCCACCGTCCTGCCGTCCTTTTCACCAATGCCAATCTCAATAGTCACCTGCTTGGCCTTCTTGACCTTTCTGCCCTTCTTGTCGAACTCGTCACTTGGACGTCCCAGACGCACACTGCGCGGAATACGTGTCTTTGCGCCAAGTGCCCACAAGTCGCCCCATCTGGCTTTTCGCGCATCGCGGAAGGCCTGCTTGCTAAAAGATCGGGGAACTGTCCAGCGCTCTAGTGTACCAGCTGGTGTGCACACGTCCAATATAATATGACCTCGTCGCTTGAGGGCAGGCAGGATGAGTCGAGGGAGTGTAAGTGGATTGACGTCGGCTGTCGATGTCAATACAGGCTCTTCTGTTGCTAGATCTGGATCCGCGTCTGAAGCCTTCCATTCATGGCCTTCAAAAGCAGCTGCCGTCGATGATTCTCCTTGAACAAAACCCTTGCCGAGAATGTCGTGCTGGGGGAGACGCTGGTCGCGTCCACGTTGAACAGCGAGGTAGCTGAACTGGACGTCTTCATGGTTCTTGTCTTTGGCATTCAGAATACGTTGAAGGTATGGTGGTCGAATGTAACGTTGACTGAAGAAACAGAAGTCCTTGCGTCCTTGAGAAACACCGGTAGACTGATACATGGGGCATGTGCTGTGGTTCGTGCATGGTGCAACAATCATACCAACCTCTTTTTCGGTAAACCTGGTTTCTTCGTCTGGATGCGACACTTGAGACTCAACGGATCGTTCAATGGTTTCTGAACCGGGTGAGGCAATGTGCTTGTCCAGTAAATAAGCACGAGCGCCAGCAACGACTTCGAATCCTCGCGGCAGTCCCTTTTCAATGAGAATCAAAACACCGCCCTTGGGATTAAGCAAAGACCAGTACTTCTCGACCTGTTCTTTGCGCAGATAGTCTTGCCGCAGAGGCCAAAGCGTGTGTGGAGCAATGATAACATCGTAGAACTTCCGTGGCTGTTGCGTGTTGGCTTCATCTTCGGGTGTCACGGTCTCTGGGAGACGAGGAATAAATGTAGTGTTTTCCAATAGCTTGCTGGCGCGGTGGCGAAGTGTGTCAGACGCAGTCAGAACAGTCGCTTTGCCTAGTGGGGTAGCGCCGTGTGAAGTGTTCCCTGATTCCTCATGCATGCGCTGCCATTCCGCCTCAAGCATCTCATGCCACGCGAGCACACCAACACCTCCTGAACCAGCATCTAGGATGGTACCACCCTTCTTGTTCTGCAGCATATGCTCTAACCATCCAGTCCCAAGTCGCCGTCGGACCTCGACCATGGCACTCATGACACTCGCATACGTTCCTGGTTGAACAGATGCCATGTATGCATCAGCTTCGATGTTGCCCATGTCCGACTGCGAAGGATCAAGCGGAATTGGTTTTTGTTCATTGCCCAAGCGTGCTGGAGCCGTGCTGGCCGAGTTGGGCAGACCCCGTCCACCGAAAATTCGGTTTGCAGATTCCGCAAGGTGCTTGTGATTGGCACGGGTCAGGAGAAGAGCAGTGGGGTCCACCAAGGTTTCTTTGGGCAAGAACACGGTTGAAGGTGAAGGCTTGAAGCGGCCAGCAATAGTCAAAGGATGGGCGCGCATGAAATCACCGTCCTCCTGTGACTCTTCTACGTCCTCCCAAGCCTCTGCTTCCTCATGTTGTATTCGGCTCTGCTCATAGACGTCATCGTGGTATGTCTGCAATTCTTCCTCTCTGCGTGCCTCCCACTCCTCTGGTGTCATGGTCTCGTCGGCCATCTCAGTAGCCTCTGCGTCTTCCTCCTCAAGAGCGTCGTTCTCAGCGACAATCTCAATCTCCTCCAGCTCGCCATCTTTTGTCCTCCTTAACAAAACCGTAGTGCCATCAGGCCGTTCTTCTTGAATGATTTCTTCCTCAGCTACTGTGTCGAGTCCCTGATTTTCTTTTGTTGGGTCGACAAACACGGGCTCTCCGTAAAGTCTCTCGTAGACCGTGTATTCTTCCGCACTTAGATGGTCCCTGGGCAAGATATCTCCGAATTGCTGCCTCGCCCTCCGCGCGTTGACTTCGTAATTGAGTGCTTCGGTTGGAGAAGGAGGTGCATCCTCAGAATGTGGGACATTTTCCTTGGTTTCTCGGTCCAAATCTCTCTTCGCAGGTGTTGTCGAAAATGTTCGCTGTGGCGCGAAGCCTCGTGAAGCGGCCGATCGGACTTGTAGCGGTACGGATTGAGTCCTCAATGGTAATCGTGCGCTACGGGCGCGCGAAATTGCGATATTGAGACGACATGATGCGCAGATGGACTGGACGCTCCTTGTCTTCAGCATGATCGCACTGCACGTCGTGTGGCTAACGAGCGAAGTGCCCGCTGCGGGAAAGAAAGAAGTTCGCCGCACCGAATTCCAGGGTCCACGCTAGTTGGGCCTTGTTCGTCACCACTTGTCCAATCACATGTTTACTATTTGCAGCAACCTTCATCGACTACGGTGTCGCATTTAAATTGTCTTGTTACTCTTCCAAATATGGTGCTGTTCAAGATGTAGAATTAGTATCCAAGTCTTCCAAAATCAAGCACATTAGCCCGAGATCGCTACCCGAAGACCTGCTAGGCCCTCGTATCCGATATTGCGTACAAAGCTGAAATTGCCTGTTACAACATGTTCCCAGAGATACAAGAATGCGCCAAGTAGACCAGAGACCTGTAAGATGGTAAATAGGTATAGCACAACAGTAGTGGCTACGTATTCGGTAATTAATTTGCATATCCTTTGCCCCTCAGTCGACTGAGTGCGGAATTGCCCCGCCTATACCACTCGCATCGCGTCAGCATCCTTCTGTTTACTGAACCAGTCAGCCGAGAACATACTTAAATGACCAGACTGTTATACTAATCAAATAAGTTGTCCCACCTTAAGAAGCAGATGAATTCGTCATCTCCCCCTGCAGAAATCCAGCATTTGGTCTTTGCTTCTCTATATATCTATTCCGTATACTGCATCACGAGGTTTTGAGTCACAGGTAGTCTTGGAATCCGAAGATGGGCTCGAATCCTCATAGCTTTGACTACTCCTCGCTCAAGGAGTTACTCAAAGATACAAATGCCGAGGTTCTGCTTCCCGGCGACGACCCGGCATACGAGAAGAGCATTGAAAGATGGAGTGAACATTGCATCAAGAGAGCTGTGAGTATTGATTTCTTTCTTCTCTCCATCTTTTTTGGATTTTTAGGCTTATAACATACCAGGCGGCTGTCGTGCTAGTTACCTCACCCAACGACATCTCCGCAACCCTCGCTCAGATCCGCCAACACAGCATCCCGTTCACCGTCCGAGGAGGTGGACACTCTACTTCTGGCGCTGCTTCGATCGAAGACGGGATCGTAATTGATCTCTCCAAGATGCGCAAAGTGACTGTAGACCCTCAAGCCAAGACTGTCACGGCCGAGGGAGGAGCCCTATGGGAAGATGTCGATGTCGAAGCTGCAAAGTACGGTCTCGCGACTGTCGGAGGTACTGTTAACCATACTGGTGTGGCGGGCCTGACACTTGGTGGCGGATATGGGTATCTAACTGGGAAGTATGGGCTGACGATTGGTAAGCTACCTTTGATACCTAGCACTTTATGTTTAGTTTGCCTTTGATAACAATTGAATATTGACAACACTAGACAACCTTATCTCCATCGAGATTGTCCTCGCTTCTGGAGAACAACTCACTGCATCCGCAACCTCAAACGAAGATCTCTTCTGGGCCGTACGCGGCGCAGGTCAGAATTTCGGAGTAACAACCGCATTCACCTTTCAAGCCTACGACCAAAAGAACGAAGTCTTCGCCGGGCCACTGATATTCCCCCCGGAAAAGATCCCGCAGATTGTTGCATTCGCAAACAAGTTCCACGAAACGAATGATGGGAACCAGGCCATGCTAATGGGCTTTTCGGCGCCTCCGCCCGCAAACGCTCCTGTTGCTCTCTGTCAGCTCTTCTACAACGGTCCGGAAGCTGAGGCAAAAGCATTTTTCGCTGACCTTTTCGCTCTCGGTCCCATCGCAGACATGACATCCATGATTCCCTACGAAAAACTAAACAGCCTGCTCAACGCCACTGCAGGCTTCGACGGACGCAAACAATTTGGCGGCGGCGCTTTCAAACTTCCCTTGAACCCAGACTTTATTGTGCAGCTGCATGCGGAGTTCAACGCGTTTGTCGAATCGCACGAGCGAATGAATGAGAGTTTGATATTGTTCGAGATTGTCCCCTACAAGAAGGTGATAGCAGTGCCAAATGATCAGATGTCGTTTTCGAATCGGGGAGATTATTACAACGTTGCTACGATTTTCAAATGGTGAGAGAGGATAAAGAGTGAAGCGAGATTGACACTAATGATACAAAGGTTCGATCCAGCACTCGACGCTGAAATCCGTACATTCTCTCGAAATCTTCTGAAGAAGGCTTCCGAAACTGTTGCGGGTCGTTCGAAAGACGGGGGAGTCGGCCAGTATGGCAACTATGCAAGTAAGTGAAATTGGAGTTGCAAAAAGCACTGCAGCCTTCTTCTCGTATTTGCACAGTCTCGTTCCAACGCTGATGGAAATAGATGCCGATGTGGAAGCGAACGAGATTTTTGGTGAGAATGTGAAACGGCTTGAAGGATTGAAACACAAATACGACCCGGACAACCTATTCAGTCATGGGACGAGGTTGACGCCGCGACCTTTGGTAGTCGTGAACTAAATTCCCGTCACAGATTAGCGATGATTGGACCAAAACTCCTTGCAGGGAAGCATGCAAAGTTGTCTGCATTCAACCTGAAGAAATCTACATTAGACATTAAGCACCCTTCATGTTATAAATTCAGCGCCTCAACAAGGCGTAACTTTGGAAATGTCAATCGCGGCCGTAATGCGAGGGTTCGAGATTGGCTACATGTGCACCAAGGCTCCATGGCAGCCCCGCTGGGTTAAAGCGATATTCTGTGCTGGAAACAATCAAATCAATCAACATGGAGGCCTAGGGTTTTTTGTTGACTTCAGATTGGCTCGATCTTGACATGTTTGGCTTGGTGTATGTTTGAGACGGTTTTAGGTTGGAGCTCCAGCTGCACCCGGAGACTAAATAGCAATGTTCAATCTAGTACATGAGTACATCTACTGGACTGGAAGATCCTTATAAGACCAAGCCATGGGTGGTTTTAGATTTGTCCTAGGCTGCGCCGTAAAGCAGCCACGCCCGTATTTGGCAACGCCCCAGATCGTCCGCTCCGCAACACACAGGCCCATATAGGATTAAGCTTCGGTAGAGGCGTGATGGTTGCGACGCAAGCTATTGGGTAGGGTCTCGATCGGCGTTAGCATTTCCAGTTATCACCTGCATGGCTTGACCTTATACATGTTAATACTATAACATAGACTTGCTTCGAGCAGATTGAGCTTCGTCTCGGTACACCGCCATAGTCGAATATCAAGCCGCTAAGGGGAAAAATGCTGATCTCGTGCATTGGCGATTTTCTTGTGTTTGAGACGTCCGCCGTGGAGCAAACAGGAACGAAAAAGCAATTCCGATCGGAAAGAGCCCAAGACAAGGGATAGCTGTACCATGGCGTGGCCCAGAACGTATACAAAGCCACTTCTTGCAGGCCAGCCCTTGCACATAGCCTCCAGTAACTCACCACGTGACCCGACTGTTCCAATGGCTTTCCACAAGCATAAACGCACCATGTCAGGAATTGATGTTTGTACTACATATTAGCATTTTCTTTCTTTTCGATCTTTTGGTAGGAATTTGTGAATTTGTTCGTATGGGTAATCTGGAATGACAGCATCAGGACACATCCGCTTGATGTTCAAATGATGTAGGATGCGGGAGAAGGAGGCTTGCATGGTGGCGCTTTTTAACTTGGAAATCAGCTACCACAATCATACTTTAGATGAATTATCAGCTCCAAGAATGCATCTTATTTCTGCAGCTGCAGCGACTTGCCTTCCGCAGATCAACTCGACCACGTTCTGCATTAGAACGGGATCATTCATTGACAGCTCTTTTTGCCATTCTCGATTTTCGTTCAGAATATCACACGCCATTGCTGAGAAGTCGGAACGCTAGAGAAACTTTAAGAAAGAACATCTACGATCGATCGAGTATGGGTAGAAGAGAGGTGGAAAATGGTAACACGCCCAGACGCGCTGAATGTCGACTGCTTCAGGACAGTACAGGAGCCCCGATACTTCAGGAAGGCTACTCTATTATGGAGCATAGTCTTTACATATCTGTCTCTGAAATTGAATGCTTGGGCAGATTGGAGATTTACTATAGATGTCTTGAATCTCAGGCCATTTGTCGTTGCAAGTCGCTGACGGCCGAGAGTTAAGCCGTTCAACGTCGTGGGATAGCGCTGACAAGCTGACAAGGGAGTTGATAAGACTAGCTCTTCCAAGTTGGGCTAGGTTTCTCTCCTTGGCGGACTTATGAAGGACCTTGTCGGGGTAAATCAGTCCATTTTCCACCGATTACATGGTTGACTGCCTTAACATATACGACGAACAGAGAGGCTCAGCTGAGGCATCGAACGTTAGATTCGTATGCAACCCATGTCGCGGTGTATGTAATCGATGATCAACAGCACTACTACAATGTCCGGATCGTTTCGGTTTCCGTGATTCCGGGTTTTTCGGCCATCAGCTGGCAAGAAATCTTCCCTTGATTCCTCGCTGTACCGAATACGAGTTTAAGATACACATTTATTTTATACCAACGGCCTTGAGCAGCTTATCCTTTTGTTCGTTGGCTGTGTGATTTTGTGCCTCGACGCCCTTGACAACGTCGCTCATGGTCTCGACTTCCTTGACACCTGTACCATGTGCAAAGTGCCAAAGCTCGTCTTCCTCGTAGCGTACCTGGAAGGCTTGCCAGTTTTGGGCCTTTAGCAAATTGACGTGCTCGGTGACAGATGGGGATGGGCCCGAGTAGACGAGGACGCCTGGATAGCCTGGCTTGGTGAGACCCGAGACGGGAGGCGACGAGGATGGGGGCGAGAGGGCAAGTTTGCGCTTGTTGGTGTTGAGAAGATGATGCAGCCATATGATGATTGTTTTTGGGGTATCAGAAGTGGCACTGGCACTCTGAGGGGGATTCAGATCCGAAGAAGCAGACTCGATGAGACGTTCAAAGGTCGCAACGATGGCATCGAGCGATTCCTCTCCCTCAAGTAGTGTCAACTCTGCTACGGCTTCTCTCAGACGTAGCCGCAAATCATTCTTGGCTGCATCCGTTGCAGAGATGATGTCGGGAAATCCTGAATCGGGATACGTCTCCGGTAAGCGAAGAAGGAAGGAGCAATGGCCATGATTGGTGAACTTAAACTCGCGGGAGTTGGGATTGTAGTGTGTGTGGTCGGGGTACATGGCCTGTAGTAGCTCGAGCTCAGTTTCAAGGCGGGCGGGTCCGTGGTCCGCCATGCTGAGGACAAGCGGAAAATTCTACCAGGCATGTACGTATTCACGTACGTATGTAATGGGCAGATTGTGGTGGTTCCCGCAGGCAGTCCAGGGGGGTTGGCGGGAGTGTGCGGTCCTTTTGCTCGGCTTCTCTTGCAAGGTGAGAGCCAATGGGTGGCGTGTGTTGTGGGTGCTCGACTCCACCGTGTAGTGGTTGCGCCGGAGACGTGACGCGATCCCGATCCACCGGGACCCGTGCGGGGGCTGCACCTGAAGATGGATGGACAATGGGTGGCAGAACGACGGGCGATAGTGCATGCCGCATAATTGATGAGAAACATGGTCAGTGTAGGGTGCATAAGTGGCGTCGTAACAAGGCCGGTATCTCGCTTGCGTCTCATCTTTGGCTTGCCGTGGCCGGGGTGAATGGACACACGCGAGCATGCTCGGGGGCGTTTGCATTGGCAGCAGGACAGGTTCCCGCGGGTAGAGAAGGGCTGCACGTGAATGTCTGTCCATGTACGCCCTCTTGCAAAGGCACATGCAGAACAGGCATTGTTTGTGTTCTTGTTGCTCGTGTTTGGAGGGCGAATGACTAGCTGGCAGCGAGGGTGTTGTGTTGTGCCTGGGCCGTATGACGGTGAAACCAGTCAATTAGGGTTCCCAAGGCGGCTAGCCGGAGACGCGGAACGTTCGCGCTGCCCGGTTCGTGTCCATGTGCAGGCGGCTTAGAGACATGGCGCCAACCACCCCCAGGCCCAGCAATGCCTCGACGACCACCTCTAGTGATCTGCAGTCGGATAAAGAAAACATTGGCTCCCTCGCCCTAGCCTTGCCTTCATCAATCCACCACAGTCCGCTGCTCGCGAGCCTCCGGAAACCCATCGTGATCTTGACCACCAGCTACCAAACCCTTGTCCCCAGCAACAAACAGCCTAGCAACCCGTTTGATAGTCTCACACCACCACCACAACTACAACCACTGCCACTATCACCAACATTCCCCCCCTCTCGCCATAACTCCCACTCACTGGTTCGCACCTGGCCTTGTATCCACAACTCCCTCACCATTGATACGGCCCATGAGCAGCCGCATCTTGGTCCAACATGAAGGCTGCTCCTCTCCTCGTCTCCTGGCACAATGAAAATGCCCCGATCTACTCTGCCCATTTCGAGCCACATGGAAAGGGCCGCCTAGCAACTGCTGGCGGAGACAACAATGTTCGCGTGCGTCATGCCACCAGACACTAGCCGCCAGCATCCGCTAACACCAACCACAGCTCTGGAGCGTCGAGACGCATGGCGAAGAGCGCAAGGTCACGTATCTGTCAACGCTCGTCAAGCACACACAAGCCGTCAACGTAGTACGATGGTGCCCCCGCGGTACTTCCAGGCCAATCCAGCATGCGCACACCACGGCTAACATGTACAGGCGAAATGCTGGCCAGCGCCGGTGACGACGGCAATGTCCTGCTCTGGGTCCCTGCCGAGAACCAGACAACCCACACAAACTTCGAGGAAGGCCTCGAGGACAAGGAGACATGGCGAGTCAAGGCCATGTGTAGATCCATAGGCTCCGAAATCTACGACCTTGCTTGGTCGCCAGACGGCGTCTTCTTCATCACGGGCAGTATGGACAACATTGCCCGCATCTACAACGCTCAGACTGGTACGACATCTGCCCTTGCGCCACTCTCCCCACAGCTGCTCAATAACCTCTAGGAACCATTGTGCGACAGATTGCTGAGCACAACCACTATGTCCAAGGTGTGGCCTGGGATCCAATGAACGAATACATTGCGACGCAATCGTCGGACCGATCTGTACACATTTACACACTGAAGAACAAGGATGGCCAGTTTTCCCTGGCCCAGCACAGCAAGGTCACCAAGATGGATTTGCCTGCGCGACGAGTATCTTCAAATAGCCCTGCACCACCCGACTTTGGCGGCCGCGCCTCTTTCGTAGGGGATTCACTGGCAATCGGCTCGCCTGTACCCTCAATGCCTGGCACACCGCAATCGCTCGCCCTGCCAACTATGCACCCACCGCCGACCTCGCACAGCCGTCGCTCGTCGTTTGGCTCCTCGCCCTCGATGCGCCGCTCTGCTTCGCCAGCTCCATCCATGCCCCTGCCCGCGGTCATGCCCAATTCTCCCAGCATTGGCAGTATCGGTACTGGAATCCGAAACGCACCCATCTACTTCAACGAGACACTCACATCCTTCTTTCGACGTCTGACGTTTGCCCCAGATGGAAGCTTGCTCTTCACTCCAGCAGGCCAATATAAGGCACTGCACCCGTCTGTAGGCGAGGCGAAGCCGGCGGAGGACATTACCAACACCGTCTACATTTACACTAGGGCCGGTTTGAACAAACCTCCAGTGGCGTATTTGCCAGGTCACAAGAAGCCCTCGGTTGCTGTGCGTTGTTCACCCGTGTACTACACCCTACGCCAAACAGCTCCTCCGACAAGGCAAATCACCATTGACACCTCCAACATGGACGATGAGATCCCCTCTCTGCCTGAGCCGGTTATGCCCTCAAAGCCCCCGACATCACATTCATCAATGGACCCACCACCCATTACAAGTGCCCCGTCACCCTCACCAAGCGTTTCAGCACCTTCACCCAAGCCTAATGAGAACGACGCATCTGCACCAACCGCGCCGCCCGCTGGGCCTGTGTCTGCATTTACGTTGCCTTACCGCATGATTTATGCTGTTGCAACACAAGATGCTATCCACATTTACGATACGCAGCAGCAAAAGCCGCTGTGCATAGTTAGCAACTTGCACTTTGCCACTTTCACAGACATCACCTGGTAAGAAATATAAAGACCATTCAGTTGAGAAAATTGTTGACACTTGAAAAGGTCTAACGATGGATCCATGCTGCTAATGACATCCTCGGATGGTTTCTGCTCTTCGATAACATTCGCTCCTGGAGAACTGGGCGACAAGTACACAGGGCCATTGGCTGTCCATAATAGACAGCAAAATGTACCTGCCGCCATTAACACAGCGGCCAGCCAGGCATCCAATCATTCTACCCCAACACCCACGCCGACAACTGGAAGCATGTCAGCAACAGCAACAGCAACAGCACCTCCAATGCAAAGACAACCATCTGCAGGCTTCCCAGCATCTCCAAGCTCCTTTGTTCCCGCAAGACCAGGCAGTCCAACAAGAAGCAACTCGGTGTCTAGTATTGCTACAGCCTCATCATTTGCTCCTGGAGCGGGAGATCAAAGCAACATGAATGCACCAACACCAGTCATGTCGTCAGTACCGAGCATTGCAGCAGCCAACTCTGGGCCGGTTCCTATGTGGACACCGCCTCTTACCCCTGCTCATGGTCAGGGTGGGTCGCATAGTGCCAGTAGCTCAGTCAGTGGGGTTCCACACATTGGTCAGGTCGGACGTAGAGAGAGCGAAAGGAGCGAATGCGATCGTGACGATGGAGCAGCGCTGTCTAAGAAACGAGATCTTAACCCTGTCGCAGAGGCGGAGACGGAGGACGTGCGAGAGAACAAGAGGCGGAGAATTGCACCAACGCCTGTTGAGTTGACAATGGAGGGGGAAGAGGCGATTGCGAGCACCGAGGAGGAGCAAACGCCTGGTCAATAGTAATTGTTTGCCGGGTTGAATTTCCTTTTCTAAAGCTTCTGCACTGCTTACAGCGATTCTCTAGCACGGCGTTTGGGACATGGGCCAGGATTGCGCAATCAGCCATGGCGCTGATGTTGAGCAACAGGGACATGGGGCTCTTCGACATCTTGGAAATTTTCCGGCAGTCATTATTTGTTTAATAAGAGTTCACTGTACGAAGATATGCACGGCCATGTTTTGAGATACGGGGCCAGAATGAAAGCAGATATATAACCAAATATTTATTGCAAGAGTTTGACAAGGGCAGTCCGGAAGGATTGCCGTGTGTCTCCAAGGCAGATGTGCTAGCGCCTTGCTTGCTGTAGTATGGCTTGCTTTTTTACCAAGAGATCCAAGACGGATCGGCTCAAATCTCTACCCTGTCAGATAGGGCCGCTTATCATGCCAGCCAACCACAGGGCCGCAACGATGCTCGCGGGCAGGTTCAGACGTTGCATTCGATGCAAGGTCGCAGTACAAAAGCGACTTGCGCATCGCTGGTGTCGAGGCCCGGGTTGGATGGCAAAATTCTTTTCCCCCTTCCTTTGACATCTTACTATACCCGCCGAGTCCCGTGTCCTGTAGTAGGTGATTTCCTGCATTCGTCATTCTTTGCATCTTGCATTCGCGCTCAAGGATAAACCGCCAAATCAGCACGCTCACACACACACACACACACATACATACACGCGCGCGCGTACATTCGCCCAGACAGGTTGTGTCACACACATATAAGTGCAGGTATATATGTTTTAGTAGACACAAGAGATGGACGAACCAATGAAAAGGCCGCACGAGGAGCGAGATGCCGAACAAGGGGATGATAATGCACTACAGATGTACGGCGAAACGAGTAGTCTGGGCAAAAACGACATTTTGCAGCAAGAGCATACGGATCCGGTGCTAAATGCAAAGATGCATCTTGTTAATAATGCTATTGATGAGGTAAACTTGAAGTCTAGAGAGAGAGAGAGAGAGAGAAAGTTAAAAGGGATTGAAACTAACAATGGTCGTATTAGATTGGATTTACAACATATCAATGGAAGGTAAGAAAAAAAATCCTACTTACTACATTATCCCTCCCAATTCAACTTTTTAATGATATCTTTTTTTGGGTTTCTTGAATGGAAAAGGATTAACCAAAAAGGCAAACAACAGTTATTCGTACTCAACGGCTTCGGTTACGCAGTCGACTCCCTAATCCTCCTCATCCAATCCATCATCGCGGGCCAAGCCGCCCTGGAATTCTCCCCGTCTTACGCCAACGGCCTGACCATTGCCGCCTACGTCGGTATGCTCGTTGGCGCGCTGTTCTGGGGACTCACGGCCGACATCATGGGGCGCAAGATTGCGTTCAATGTTAGTTTGCTGATTTGCTCGGTTTTCGCCATTGTAGCCGGGGCGAGTCCGAATTGGGAGGTTCTGGGCTTGTTTGTGTGTCTGAGTGCGTTTGGGGCCGGGGGAAACCTGGTGCTGGATACGGCGGTTTTCTTGGAGTATTTGCCGAGTAAGAGGCAGTGGATGCTTACGCTTATGGCGGGTTGGTGGGGTATGTTTTTGTCTCTCTCTCTCTCTCTCTCTCTCTCTTTTATGTTTGTATGAAGTTTGAGAGGTGAGTGTGTGTGTGTGTGTGCAATGGTAGTAACTAATCTGTGGGAACATTAGGTATCGGACAACTCATTGCGGGATTCCTGGCCTGGGGCTTTATTCCGAATTTCAGCTGTACGGACCCGGAAATCGATCCGTCGGCTGCGCCGTGTACAAAGGCGAATAACCAGGGTTGGCGCTACGTGTGGTATACGTCTGGTGCGCTCGTTCTGGTCATGTCTATTCTGCGCATCACGGTCATCAGACTGCAGGAAACACCAAAGTTTCTCGTCAGCGAAGGCAAAGATGCGGAGTGTGTGGAGATTCTACAGCATATTGCCGAGAAATATAATCGGCCTTGTAGTCTCACACTGCAGATGATGCAAGACTGCGGCACCACTGAGCGCGCGGCTGCACGACAGGGAAAGAGCAAATGGGGATTTGGAGAAGTTGCCATGCATCTCCGCGGTCTGTACGCGACCAAGAGAATTGGCATTTCCACCTCGCTCATCTGGCTCTCCTGGACACTGATTGGCCTTGCATATCCGCTGTACAACGTCTTTCTACCCGCATACCTGGCCTCGCGCGGCGCCGCATTTGGACAGCCCAGCCCATACATCACGTGGCGCAACTACACGCTGGTCAACTTTAGCGGTATCTGGGGTCCTGTGCTGGCGGGCTGGATGTGCGAGACGCGGCTGGGCAGGAAGTACACCATGGTTGTTGGTGCGCTTGTGACCATGGCCTTTTTCTTTGCCTACACGCAGGTGCGCACGGCGACGCAGAATGTTGCATTTACGTGTATTATCAATTTCTGCCTCAACGTCTATTATGGCACCCTTTACGCATATACACCGGAGGTTTTGCCGTCACATGACCGCGGGACGGGAAATGGTATTGCGATTGGATGCAATCGTGTCATGGGCATTTTGAGTGCGGTTATCGCTACTGTTGCTGATGTGAGTTTTGGGTTTTTCCCCCCTTCCCTTGCAAATTATGGGTGGGTTTGCTGACATGGACCGCTAGACTGGAACTGCAGTGCCGATATACATCTGCGCGGCTTTATACATTGTCATGGCGGGTATTGCGGCGGTATTTCCCTTTGAGCCATATGGCAAGAGGAGTTCTTAAGAAAAGAATAAGAATCAGAGCTTAGCCCGACTACATTGACACATGCGTCGTTGAGTTGTTGGGCTCAATGGTGGAATGTCTCTGGCATCATGATATCGTTTGATGGGAAGTCTTCCTAGTCGTCTGCTGCTGCATGCAGATGGTTCAGTGTTGCATGCAGGGTCCAAGGCGTAAACGCTTTCAGGGTACGCAGCTGACGACGTGTAAACTATCCCAGGGTAGTATAGTGTGACACCGAAAGAATATATGAAAAGTATGTTTTCTCATGTTATTGACTATGTTAGACATGTCAGGTGTGTGTCTCCAAAGGGTGCGGGCATATGAGTTTTCATCCAGCCTTCCATTACGCTTACAATGTTGTCCATCTTGATGTTGATGAGTCATGGCTTTGCTCACCGAATGCATGTACATAGTGCACAAGTCGTGGCTCAACGTTGTTGTCGGCACAAGGTCGGAGTTTCTTTTTCCCGCATGCTGTGTCTTTGGATTCGTCAGATCGGGCATTGCTTTTTCATTCTAGCCAGAGCCGCCGCAAGCGCGGGGATGCTCTCTGTTCTATTCCCATTGGTCCGAGTTTAGTCTGTTTGCCTGAGATGGTTTACAAGCCTGTGGATTGTGGCCTTGACCCAACCGACCGGTATCGTTTCGCCTGCCCTATCTGGAAGTGGCTGGGGTGTATGTGTGAAGGACGATGCGTTTGTAAAGTACAATATTACCCATGTCAACCCATGGATATAGCTAGCACATAGTTTTCACAAAACCATTGTCACGTTGCGGGATGCTTTCCATGTGGCTGTGGAGTGGATGATCCGGCGACAGGGATGGGTTGAAGCATCAGCCACTGCAGTGCAGGTCCTAGTCGAGTACCCAACTAGGGCGAACCGTTATCCATGGTGCCAAGAAGCGTTGTGGGTAACTCAAATGTACCGCGGGGGATATACATATGCAGATGCTAGATCTGCAGTGATTTGCATCGTCTCCAAGAGATGCAATTGCACGAGCAAGTAAGCAAGCGAGGGAGGGGCATTATCAGAACCCCGACTTGGGCTAGTGATGCGATACAAAGGCGACCAGGCAAGCATGCAAATGAGAAAGGGAAATGAAAAAAAGGTTTACACCGTGTTTTCAGTACTGGGCTTGGCACTTGGTAACGTGGACCTTGCATAGCTGGCTACGCTTATTAGGCTGGTGAAGATGTGGGATATGGCCTGACGAGGCGGGGATAGGTCGCAATGGGCTGTGTATACCGGGCAGGGCTCGGAGAGAATCCGGGCTCGGACAGTCGGATAGTTGCAAGTGCGATGGACAGAGCGACGGGTCGGCACAAAGGTTGTGAGAAAATAGGCCTTTTCCTACCGGTCCATCTTGATAGTATGTCGGATGTTGGGTTGGCATGTCGTAGCCCGAGTCCAGACGGAGCTAAGCACGTGTGGGCCGAGGGGTGACAGCGGACAGTATAGTGGACAAGACCTTGCTGCCAGCTGCCACGATCGGTCTGGCTGGCTGGCTGGCTGGCTGGCTGGCTGTACAGTATTGTAGGTAGTGGCCGATTTGCAGCCGGGGCTTGCCACAACCACCATGGGCTCGAGGCTACGGCAGGGCATAACGGCTGCTGGTGATTGGCGGGCGGAGGATGCAGCGCGTGGGCTCTGAAGCCGTATAGTACGTGGCTTTACTTTGCGCCTAGTGCTGACGGGCAGCACTGATCGACGGGCGCTGTAAAGGTTCCCCTTGTGTGCCATGTTGCCCTGCTGAGCTTCCACCTACCACCGTCCAGCCGTCCGGGGAATATGCCCGTTCAACACGGCTGCGCTGCCATCTGCCATCTGCCATGCCCTCATGGCAGGCGGGGTATCGCGGCTCCTCTGGCCTCGCATCTATTTACCAGTCTGTACATAACCGTCTTGCATCCATCTACTACATACTACATGTGTACTAGACATGCGTCTGTGCTATGATTGCGAAGCCGCAGTAAGCAACGCATCCGCTGCTGGGAATCCTGGCCATTAACAGCTGCGGCATCAGCACCGGTCTTGCTGGGCTCATCAGCCATAGGCGCAGCCGCACCCAAAGGCAAGCGACCGCTGCTGTCTACATATATACATACATATATACATACATATATACATACATACATACATACATACATACATACATACATACATGCTACTTACGTAGCACGCTGGCCAAATGCGGCATGGCCAGCCGGGCATGCAGGCGTCGCACGCAGCCGATGCCGTGGTGGTAGGGCAGAGTGACCAAGAATAAGCTACCATGAAATAAGCAGCCATAGTAGCAGTCGCCTCGAAACCGTTTGCTGGGCTGGGGGATGCATGTGGGCTGCCGATGGATACTAGTGGATGCTGGGTCCAGCAGGGCGGGCTGTAAAGCAGCGGGAGTGAGCACCTCTAAGCTCAATCCCTACCGCTGCTGCGCTCGAGTATAATAAGAGGCACATGTTCAGCCCTCTGGCGTCAGTCCTGCTGCTGCTCTCGGCGCAATTACTTTAGGGCGTATGCTCGCGCCCATCACCAACTCTTACTTCCCTCCCACCCCCATCCCTCCCACACCATGGACTACAACTATTACGCCGCGCCCCAGCAGCCATACTCGCACCTCGTCGGCGCCGGGTCTCACCCATTCCCTCACTCGGGCCTCGAGCGGGACACGACACATAGCACTGTGAGTTTATTTTGTTTATTTTGTTCATTTTGTTCATTTTGTTTTTTTTGCTTCCCCAGTGGTGTGATGAAGGTTGTCGAGTCGGCCCTGCTTGCGTACACACTCACCATGACTAATCGGGGCGTGTACAGGAATCTCTTGACGCCGTCCTGTTTCCTACAGCCTACGATGCCACTGGTTTCACCAACGGCTTGCCGACCCCGCAACAGGAGTCCCCCGAAAACGCAACAGCAAACACTCCCATGGCTGCAGGTAGCGTAGACTCGGGCATTGGTGCCGAATTCGACGATGGCCGGATAAGCCGGACGAGGAGCAGTAGTGAAGAGAAGGATAACCTGACGCCTGCTCAGAGCAGGCGCAAAGCTCAGAACCGCGCTGCGTAAGCTCCAACCGTCCTCTCCCACCTGTCCCGCCATACACTGACCCTCTGGCCCGTCTACAGTCAGCGTGCCTTTCGTGAGCGCAAGGAGCGCCATGTCAAGGAGCTCGAGACCAAGCTCTCCGCCCTCGAGTCCAGCACCCACTCGCTGCAGTCGGACAACGAGCGCCTCAAGGCTGCCCTGCAGCGTGCCCGCACCGAGAACGAGATCCTGCGTGCCACCAGCGGCCACTCGCCTTCGTCCCCACCCCAGCCAGTAACCGCAAGCTATCCCTCGCCCGGCGCCCACCTCCTCCTCGAAGACCATGAAAAGGACGAAGAATACAATGTTCAGCCCCTGCCCAACGGCTCCGTTATCAACGCTGCTGGCAAGGAACACTCGCGTCAGGGTCCAAGGGGCAAAGAGGTCCCTGCCGCAAAGGCCTGGGATCTTATCCAGTCACATACGCTCATCAAGCAGGGCCTCGTAGATGTGGCCGATGTCTGTGAGCGGCTCAAAGGCTCCGCCAAGTGCGATGGTCATGGCCCCGTCTTTGAAGAGAGCGCCATTTGGCAGGCCATTGACGAGTCACGGCGCTGCGGAGGTGATGAATTGATATGATCTTCAGCCAGGCACGCTGAACCCTTCGTTTCTCTTAATACCCCCTTTCCCTTTCGTTTTACTGTCATGGTTTCTGGTGTTTTGGCGTCCGGTACATGACTGGCTGGTGGGGTTGTCTACTAAGCTGGCCCACAAAATCGGACACTTTCGTATCGCGGCGAGGCACATTTTGGGCGGTTTGTTCATGTTACGACACAGAATAGCGATAGGCTTGATTCCTCGAGATTCTGCATACACTTACCACAATCAAACAAGTACGCATATCTGATCGGTGTATCAGTCTCACGCATCCTTCATCCAGCTCACAAACACGTGTTGCAATCTGACTGCCATTATGGCTTCTGTTTTCCCTCTCAGGATGCAGCATGAGACGTCTGAGCAGCTCAAAGTTTATCCAACACATAGTTTGCACAGGGAACCGGAATCACAAAACCCGAGCACCGCCAACAAGGATCGGGACAGGGATCTTGGAGGCACACCAGGCGCTCGACTGGGGTCCGATCACGAATTTGTGGTTCTGCAGCGGAAATAAAGCTTCCCAAGACATTGGTTGATTCTCACCGTATTAGGGCATCTGGGCTTAAGTACTACATGGATTCTGGTTTCGGGGAGCATCCGGCAGCACACAGCAACACTCTAATCATCTGTCATCGCCGACCTCTATCCATAAACGGCAATAGGAAGTGACTCAGTTTCATGTCCTAGAACAAGGCCCGCCGCAGCAAAGCAAAAATCCCAATAACCGTATAATACTGACATGGTATGTTGCTTTGTGCTAACACGGCAAGCGGGCCGACTTTACTGTCTGTAGCCAGCTGCGTACGGAGAAGAGGAAGGAACTGCTGCCGCTGAAAGCCAGCCAATTGTATAGCAGGAACCATGCAGCATAGCGTTGGGGGGGGGTGAAAGTCTAGATAGCACAGTGACCAGGAACGCACATGCTACCTGCAAAACTTCATTTTGCAGATACCAAACCCTACAATAAGACTTTTCTCTTTGTCTCTCGGCCCCAAACCTTCATCCAGCGTATATGTTACATAGCAAAGAAATGCACACTGAATACATACATCACTCCCCCCCCTTTCCTTGAACCCCCTCCTTCTCCTTGATGAAAACTAAAAAAGAAAAGGCACCCCACTACAACATCCACACAAATCTTCTCCCACCCGAATCCGAAGCATACTTTTTTACCCGACCTTCTCTCTCTCTCTCTCCCTATGTGCGTGTGTGTGTGCATAATGCAAGCCACATCTCGCTCATGCTTAGCCCCCACACCCCACCACCCTCCCATGTCCCCAAACAAACAAAAAAACCCCACTCTCAAAAGCCCCGTCAGCA